TTCACAGAACTATATGAAGGAAAAGGAAGAACAACACAATTAGACTTGCAAGATGATGTTACAATATCCATTCAGTAGCCAATTCTAGCCTTCCTGTGGAGTGGATTTCCTGATCTGATCCATCTAACAAGTTCAGAAGGTCTCAGCAGGCGCAATGTGTTTTTAATGTGTTAAAATGTGCTTTTAAACGTTACAATTATTAATTGATAAGATACTGTAATCTGTTTCCCATGTACATTGTAGATGTATCACAACTGGGTCTTCCCCTCCCTTTCCCCCCATCTCATCCCAATTTAAATCCTACATTAGTCTATCCACTCCATGCATCTGAGGAAGTGAGCTGCAACTCAAAACTGTTTACGCCTTTTAAAATAATTCCTTAGCTGGAAAATTGCTATAGGTTCCTTTGACTTTCTGCCATCATAGATTAACACAGATCTCTTCCTACAAGCACATATGGTAGAAAAATCAATATAGTAGAACAACATACTCAACTGGCAATATCTAACTGATTTGGGTTGATTCCCCCAAATGGAATAGATTCCCCTAGGACAGTGGTGGCTAACCTTTTTGGGCTCCTGTGCCAAAAACTGCGCGCGCTTGCACGCTCATGCTCGTGTGCCAGCACTCAGAAGGCAATGCGCGTGCCCCATGCCCCCAACGTATGTGCGCGCAATCCCCACCCAGCCACCCCGCTTCCCCCTTACCTGCACTATGCCTCACAGCTGATTTTTGGCCAGTTTGAGGCCTTTTTCAGCCTCCCAGAGGGTTGAGGAAGGCTTCTGCAGGCTTTGCAGGCCAAAAACTAGGCCCGTTTCATCACTTCTGGTATTTTTGGAAAAACAGGAAGTGACTCAATGGGCCTAGTTTTCAGTCTGCAAAGCCTGCAGAAGCCTTCCTCAAGCCTCTGGAAGCCCCAAAAGGCCTCAAACCAGCTGAAAATCAGCTGTGAGGCGTAGTGCAGGTAAGGGGGCAGCGGGGTGGCTAGGTGGGGTTTGCGTGCACATATGTAGGGGGCATGGGGCACGCGCATTGCCTTCTGAGTGCTGGCACATGAGCATGAGCGTGCACGCATGTGCAGTGAGGTAAGCTCGCTTGCAGCTTGTGTTCCGGCACAAATGGCTCTGCGTGCCACCTGTGGCACGCTTGCCATAGGTTCGCCATCACGGCCCTAGGATCTCCAGAGTATATTTGGACCTGTATAAATACTTGAATGGAAGTCACGAAGACATTCTAGAGGTGTAAAATAAATTTGTATGTAATGGGAAGAAAAGAAAGAGACAGAAGAGCTGCTACCAAGACAACAATGATCAGATACAAGAGGTCCAGGGCCTAACTGAAACTCAAGAAAATACCTCAGATCAAATCCTCCTTAGTTCTCGTGAAAATAAAAGGAGTGGGTGAGAAGCACGTTCAGACTTGTAAGATTCTGATACTGTAATATTACAATAAATGTAGTACAGCTAGTCCTCACAATTAACTGGGCCATTTTGAGCCCAAAATTTATGTTATTGAGATAATTGTTAAGAGATTCACCCCATTTTACTATATTTCTTGCCACAGTTCTTAAGTGAATCACTGTAGTACCGTGTTTCTCATATAATAAGGCCGTGTCTTATTTTCTTTCTGAGCCCCGAAAAAATGGCTAGGCTGTCTTTTTGGGGGTGACTTAATCCCCCCCCTTTGCATCTTTGGGCGGGCGGGCAGTGATGGCTTGGATGTTGACCTCGGCATTGGTGGGGCACTTCATATCGGAATCAACGCAGGCAGCACCATATCTGGGTATGCAACAAAAGTACTTCCTAACGGCAAGCCCCCCCCCCCATTCCCTCCCCATTTCGCATGTTTTAATATAGGCCTTAATTTGGGGGAGGGGCTTAATTTCATTTCATGCCTATAAAACATGCTGGGACTTCCTATTGGGGGAGGCCGTATTGTTGGAGAAACGGTAGTAATACAGTTTTCAGTGAATCTGGCTTCCCCATTGACTTTGCTTGTCAGAAGATCACAAAAGATGATCACATGACCCAAAACATTGACGGTTGCAGTTGCCAAGTGCTGGAATTTTAATCACATGACCATGGGGATGCTGCAGTCATCATAAGTGTAAAAAATGGTCATAAGTCACTTTGTCAGTGGTGTTTAAACAGTCACTAAATGAACTACTGTAAATCAAGGACTATGTACTTGTATTGGCTTGCATGTGTTTGGTTTCCTAATATGGTCCCACATACATACATTGTTGGGTTTGTAAAGTGGAGGAATCTTGAAAAATTGCTTGTAGTTGATCATTTTTATTTTATGCTTGGCTCCCAAATTTTAGTTTTTCTTAAATCTCTTTTGTATTACACAATTGTATTAATTGTAGAGAATGGGGGAGATGATCTTGATAGAGATTAGGTGAGATCTCTTCCCAGAGGGATGAGAAAAACATGGCTGAAGTCCAAAAGAAGCAGAAAGCATTTGCAAGTGACATAGAATCCTTCCTTATTCACATAGGGACCAATGAGAGGTGGTATTCAGCAGGTTCTGACCAGTTCTGGAGAACCAGTAGCGGAAATTTTGAGTAGTTCAGAGAACTGGCAAATACCACCTCTGATTGGCCCCGCCCCCATCTATTCTCTGCCTCCCAAGTCCCAGCTGATTGGCCGGGTCTTCTTTTGTTGCTCTGCACAGGAGAATGGAGCTGGAAAGCAGGTTAGTGGGGTGAGAAGGGAATGGGATTTTGCAGTAACCTTCCCCTGCCACACCCACCAAGCCACACCATGCCCACAGAACCAGTAGTGAAAATTTTTTGAATCCCACCACTGGACAGAATAAGAAAGACAGGAGCATAGCACAATTAAACTTGCAAGATTCTCTTTTTATAAATACTCTCAATAAAAGTTGTTTGGGCATTTGTGTGACTTAGTTCTTGGTCTGGTGTATTTAATGAAGCTGAGAATCATGTACTATAGTATGCTTCTGAAAGAAATCAATTCTTTTTTTTTTAAACTGTCCTATTAGACATGCAGGTGGTTCTCCATTCACAATCACAATTGAGCCCAGAATTTATGTTGCTAAATGAGACAGTTGAGTGAACTTTGGTCCATTTTACGACCTTTCATGCCACATTAAGTGAATCACGTTTGTTAAGTGAATCACAGGTAGCGACCCGGTTGTTAAGTGAATCTGGCTTCCCCATTGACTTTGCTAGTCAAAAGGTCACAAAAGTGGATCACATGACCCCGGGACACTGCAGTAGTCATAAGTAGGAGTCAAGTGTCTGAATTTTGATCATGTGACCATGGGACTGATGGAACAGTTGTAACTGTGAAAAGTAGTCGTAAGTCACTTTTTTCAGAGCCATGTAACTTTGGACAGTCAATAAATGAACTGTAGTAAGTCAAGGACTACTTATAGTAAAATATGAAAATCTATATAACATTTTCAGATGGGGATTCTTTAATTTATTTAGTCTTATTAAAAGTGAACAAATTAATGCAACAACAATACGTTTTAATGAAAAATGATAGCCAATAATAATTGTACCATTTAGAAACTAAATTTAAAGGAAAACATATGTTTTTGTATGTTTGTGTGAATTAATGTTTCTTATTTATGGGGAGATATGAATTCAGTTTTATTTTTTAAAAACATTCTACTGCAGCAAGTGAAATGATCTCAAGTGGTGAGTGGATGGACGTAAGTGCTGGCTTAGGTCAAGTAGATGAGGACACAGAAGAAGGCAGTGTGTGGCTGAAAGTTAGTGTTGTGACTTCCTATTATGGTGTATTATCTTTTGCTTGAGATCAGTTATGAAGGGAACAGATCAACTGTGGCTTCCTAGTTCCTATATTTATTAGGCTTATGTCAGTTAACACATCAAGTCCATGTCCAGGGGACCATTTAAATATACTATTTGACCCTTGCTTAAAGCAAACAAAAGCACAATGTTACGTGTAGGTTTTTTGTGTATATCCTGAAGCTCCTTCCTATATGCATTCTGTTTCTAATGAGAGGCATGATAGCTCTGTAAAGAACTTCTTCAAAAAAAAAATATGGATGTTAAAGCAGGAGTTGTGAAATAGAGGAATTTGCAGGCTCTACAGAGCAGATGGCAGGTAGACAGTAAATATAATTGGATAACACATAGAAAAAAAGCTGCATGTCAACAAAATAAGAATCATGCTGTATTCTTCAAGAGGTCCACTGCTGGGAGATAATGTAAAAATGATGGAAATTGACTTGAAATGTCAACTCAATGAAATTGAATGGGACACATTTTCAAATGCTTCCCCGTTCAAAACTGTTCTCCAAATTCTTGAATGCTTAGCTTTGAGAAGCGATTGGCTTCCCAAATGTTGTGATACAGCAGCATTGTCAGCTGGTCTCATTCAACAATTATGCAACTAGAGAAGATTTCAAAAGTACTTGATGAATATACTTGTCGTGTATACTGTATTTATGTGGGGTTAATTCACTGTAATACTTTCGTTTTGAATTAGTGGCATTTAAAGTAGGATTTCTAATCGGTACTGGTAGATTTATCTTCAAAAACGCATTTGGGGGGGGCAGAGGGTAGATTATGGGTGTCCAAACTTTTGGCTTGTCTGAGTGGCATTGTGGGAAGAGGAATTGTCTTGGGTTGCATATAAAATATATAATATAGTTAATGTATATAGATCACATAATGTTAAAAGTTTATGACCTTGTGGGGCCACATTACTAGCTGTCCAGGGCCACACGCAACCCATGGACACACCTGAGGTAGATAGAGTTATAAAAGTATACTAGTATACTTAATTGGTACCCTCATATTTACCTAGTCTGTTCAAATGGCTTATGTGAATGGTTTATGAGCACAGAACAAATTACAGTAGTTTAAATGTACTTCCCTCTAGATACCGTTCTATATGTATATAAGTTGGATACATTTCTATATGTATATGTTATGAGCTAAACAGTTTCTGCTCAAGATTATGTCACATGTTAATTCTGTATCCTTTGTTTTTGTGTAGGATTCTACTAGCGTGACAACGGTTTTTCTCAGAACAGACCCACAAGGATTTTTCTTATACTGGACAGATCAAAATAAGGTAAAAATATTCTGAACTGCTTGAATTAGCATTTCATGTTTCTTTTTAATGAGATCCCTTTGTTGATATGATTTCGAGACTTGAATCGTTGTTGGTTAGTATGAGACCTCACTTGAGCGCGTTCATCATTTGCACTGGGTTGGCATATATTTTCAGAGGATCACTGAATTCTGACTGTCAGCAGTGCGGATTGCAGATTCTTTTGATTGCTGATACTTAAAGCTGTGGATACTCGGCCAGCCTGTTTAAATACATTGAATTGCAACCCCTTATCACTGCCAGCAAGCATTGCCATTGATTCCAACATCTCTAGAAACAGGCTGAGTTGGAGAAATTTAGCCACAAGTGAAAGACATATCCACCAAGGGGGGCATTTTGCAATTTATGAACTGTAGAAACAAGTTTGAAATACGATATACGATATCCTGAGGAAGGATGCACTCACTCACTCAGTATATCTTCACATATAATCTTGTGCTTCCTAGGGTTTTGTGCTTCCTGTTGATTTAGAAGAAACCAAGTATCTTGAAAGAATGGCATCACATAAAATTCTTGAAATAATTATTTGTGGGATCATAGATATGTAAAATGCCCTGTTATGTAAAGATCAGATGAGTATTTTTCTCTTTAGTTAATAGATTTAGAAATATTTACCAGGGTGTATCTTTTAAGGCTCTGTTTGGCAAAACAAAAACAGATTAGTTGTTTGAAAGACTTGTTTAGAAATAGGACACTTATTTACAATCAGTGTTGGCAGCTACTGAAGGATTAGTTACAAAAAGTTTCATGGGAAGAATCTACTAAATTCCAGCATTTGCCTTCCAGTTACTAGAAAATGATTAGAAAAAAAGAAACAGGAAAGTTTATGTAAATCTTCTGTGATGATAAGATTTATCTATATATTTATCTAAATTCTATGATGAGTAGTATACTAAGAGGGAATAAGCAAATTTCCAGTTAGCAAAGTGCTCTTGTTTTTTATACTCTCAAAGAACACAAGCCAACTTTATATTTTTGAGTTTACCAAAGCATTTTGGTAGGGTAGCTATCATTTCTGAATTTATGCTTTAGATATTGAGGTGAAGTTCTACATAAGTTTATGACAGTGGTGGGATTCAAATTTTTTTGCTACCGGTTCTGTGGGCGTGGCTTGATGGGTATGGTGTGACTTGGTGGGTGTGGTTTGGTGGGTGTGGCAGGGAAAGGATACTGCGAAATCTCATTCCTTCCCCACCCCACTAACCTGCTTTCCAGTTCTGTTCTCCTGTGCAGGGCAACAAAAGAAGACCCAGCCGATCAGTTGGGACTCGGGAGGCAGAGAATAGATGGGGGTGGGGCCAGTCAGAGGTGGTATTTGCTGGTTCTCCAAACTACTCAAAATTTCCACTACTGGTTCTCCAGAACTGGTCATAACCTGCTGAATACCACCTCTGGTTTATGATCTTTGTGAATCCAAGAGCAGCCATTTGCTTCATTTGTTATACTCTTAATGGCCTTTTTAATCATTTGAAGGACTACAGCATAAACATAGCAAGCTAATGTCTTACTCAAAGTTCCTGTTTTATTTAAATATAAACACAGAAAAGTCCAGGGGATGGTTTACATTGGAGCAGAGACACTAATAAAAAAAGTTTAAAATTCATGTAAATTGTGTACCTGACTTAAATTGCTTAAGATATTAAAACGTACCTATTTTGTTTAGATTTAATATGTAGAGTAGAAGTATTTTCTGGAGTGACCACAATCCTAGCAGTGAATAAAACTGCCACAAATGTCAGTGGTAAAATACAGATCCCTTGAAGCTTTATTTAGGTAAAAATAGAACATCAGAAGATCAAATATTCATTTCACATATTGTAGTTTGGGCATAAATCCTTATACAGAGACATGAATATTTTTTTTAGACAGACTTGCACAAGGCTGGTGGTATGAAAACGATGATTAACATACTGAGAAAGAAGATTATTCTGAGTGCAGTTTTTTAAAAATTTGTTTGTTTGTATCCCACCTTTATTATTTTTACAATAACCAAAGGCAGTTAACATAGCCAATACGCCTTTCTCTCAGGGGTGAAATTCAACCCCCTTGGCCCACCAAGGTGGAGAGGTGGTAGGGACGATTTGAATCGGTAAAAAATCGCCCCAGTTGCTATTATACCAAGCCACGCCCATGCCGAAAGAGCCGGGAAAATATTGACTTTCACCCCTGCTTTCTCCTCCTGTTTTTCCCTACAACAACAGCAATCCTATGAGCAGGGATTCTCCCGGTTCAGACCGGTTCGGGCAAACCCCTAGTTCTGATCATCAGCTGGTTCAGAACCGGTTCGCTCCGACGAGCATGTGGGCCCGCCTGCCCGCCCCTCCTCTTTCCTGTGCTTTATTTTGTTTTTTTTAGAGCACAGCTGATTCGCGCGTCATTGAGGTGTGCCGCGCCTCAGGTGTTTTATTCAAGGGTCTGCAGTAGAAGGTAAGTATTAGAGCTGAAAATGGGCTTTTTTAAACACGGAACGCGTGCTCACCGAACCAGTTGTTACACCAGTTGAATCGCACCACTGCCTATGAGGTGAGTTGGACTGAGAGGTAGTGACTGGCCCAAGGTTGCCAGCTGGCTTTCATGGCTAAGGCGGGATTAGAATGTATGGTCTCCTGGTTTTTAGCCTGGTACTTCAACCACTAGATTAAACTGGGTCGTTTTATTACTAGACTTTTATTAGTATTGTCATAATAGCACATTTTGGGTGTTTATGATTTCTTGGCCAAACAATGATTGAGTTTTGCCCCAGGCTTTACATGGGTCTTTTTTTTTTTTTTTGGACACATGACCATGTGGCAAGAAGATAAACAAGAAGCTTGGAGTCAAAGAATTCAGTTGCCATTTTTTTTTTCATAGCTATTTCGACCTCAAGTTGCTTATGGATGGGCAAGACTCAGAAATGATTAAGTGGCAAGATGATTTGATTAACTGTGAGTCTGTTAGGGAAGTCATATTGATTGATCAATGAAAGTGCATATTAATAGAGAAGTCTGCAAGGAAGTGCTCTGAGTGTTGTATTTTATTGCTAGAGAAAAAAGTTAAGAGTGGTATTTTCTTCTAATTTCTTCTAATAGGCTACCACTAGATGAGCTGGAAAAAAATGTACATTGAAAAATGTCTGTTTTACATATGATGTTTTGTTTATCTGTAGGTGTTTGTTCAGACAATCCTTGACTTACAACAGTTTATTTAGTGACTATTCAACAGCACTGAAAAAAAAAAAAATGACTTATGACCATTTCCCCAAAAGTCACATGATCAAAATTGAGACCCTTGTCAACTGGCTCATATTTATGATGGTTGCATTATCCTGGGGTCATGTGGCCCCCTTTTGCCACCTCCTGGCAAGTCAATGGGGAAGCCAGATTCATTTAGCAACCATGTTACTAACTTAAACAACTGTGGCAAGAAAAATAGGGCAAAACTCACTTAACAAATGTCTCACTCAGCAACAAAAATGTTGGGCTCAATTGTGCTCATAAGTCGAGGACTACTTGTAGTCAGTAGACTGATTCACCAAGGGATAAAAGAAATTGCAACTCTTCTTGCAGTTGAGGAGTCTTTCCCTTGTCCCCTCACTAGAGTGTAATTTAGATGTTCTTATGGTATAAGTTCTTGGGACTGTTAATTTGCTCTAGTTCTATTTTGGTGTGGCCCAAGAATATTCAAAATGACTTGTGACTTCCGGCTGCAGGCTTCGGCGGTGGCAGGAATCCGCGATTGTGTGCGGTTCCTGCTGTGCTCGCTGCTAAAGTGCCTCCGATCCAGCCAGGTTTGGAGGCTGTCGTTACCCCGTAGAGGTAACGGAAGACAGAGGAGATCCGGGCAGGGGTCTGGGGATTTCGCAACCCCTTTCCCCAGCCAGCTAGACTCCCTTTTTCCTAAGGCGGTGGAGCGGCGGTCAGTAATGGCCGCCACGAAGAAACCTTCAGCCGGACAAGATCGTGCAGGAGGAAGTGTCAGAAAGTGAAAGTTCTTGGCTGAACTGGGACTCTAAGATATATCTAAATACCCTGGAATTAAAAATCTTTTTTGAATGATATATTGTTTCCAAAGGAGACTGTGAAAGCGGCGAATGAAAGTGTGAAAAGGGAAAGTTTACTCTCCTTCCTTACGGAGATAGCAAATGGACATTGAAAAACCTGCTTTGGCACAGAAGGTAAAAATCAAAAGTTTTTTGCTATAAGTGGGAAGGGAGAGGTAAAAAAGAAAAAACTTATATTAAGATCTTGCTGGAGGAGACGTCTTGGAATTTATAAGATTAGAAATTAACTGCAATAAGACCTCAAAAATATATTTTGGAACTTTGTAATTGACATTGCCCCAGGAGGAGAAAGTGTAAAGAGAAGAAGGTGCTAAATGAAACATTTTGTGTTTGTTTGGATTGCTTGATGACTTTGGGACTTTTGGAATCTATTCTAAGATTAAAAACATTTGGGTTGTTTTTTTTAAAAAAAGAAGAAAAAACCTTACAATGGCGTTATCTGTGGATGAATTAAAAATAGAATTTGAAAAATTAAAAGAAGAGGAACAAGAAGGCAAGGGCTCTTTTGGATCTGTTTTTCACTTCTTAGAAATGGCGATTTCTACCTACCAGCAAATACAACAACAACAACAACAACAACAACAACAACTAGAAGCCATCTTTAATGGACAAATAACTTTAGCCAAGAAAGAAGGGAGGAAGAGGGGAAGGGAAATGGAGAATTTAAGACTCAAAAAAAACAACCAAGAAAGAGAAAAATAAGGTGAAAAATCGATACAATGTCAGAAAGCAACAGAAAAGAGGAATACAGCAGAGATGGGTGGTTAAAAAGACGGAGGTTAAGAGCGGGGGGGGGGGATAAAAAGGCCAGATTGGATAAGAAAGGAAGGGAAAAAGGGAAAAGAAGTCATAAAGGCTTGAAACAAGATGGGAAAAAGATTTTTTTAAGAGATAATGGGTAAAGTACAATTAAAAAGAGATT